ACTGAATGTTCATTGTGTGCCAGATGTTGAAAAGGTTATATGTACATGGCCGGGTGCGGAGGCTCACACCTGTTGTCCTAGTTCTCACAAGGCTGAGGTAGGAGAACTGCTTGAACTCTGGAGGTGGAGGTTGCAGTGAGCCCAGATTGCACCACTGCACTCCAGCCTGGACGACAGAGTGAGACTCTGTCTCAAAAAAAAAAAATTATATAAAATTATATGTACATAATCTAATTTAATCCACACAATGACCCTATAAAGTAGATACTAGATTATTATGATTATCATTCCCATTCACAGATGAGGAAACTGAAGCACAGAGTTAAGTTACTTACCCAGTTACACTATAAACCACAGAGGCAGGATTCAAATCCAGGCAGTCAGACAGCTCCTTTTAGCCACGATAGATTCTGAGCCCACAAGCAACTACGGTTCTAATGCTATTCCAATGGAGTAAAAACTCAAACTCAAGCACTCCCAAAAGCACCAAATGTGACAATATCACCATTTTAATTCTGAAACAGGGTTAAAATAGTTCTGCATTACAAAAAGTACGTCTGTGTTAATAATCACAATGTTAGTGACTGTCATTTAAAAACATGTAAACAGACACACACACACACACACACACCCACCCACCCCCCCCCAAGCCAATTATCTCTTTGGTTAAGCAAAAGTCCTATGTGTCCCAAAACTAAGGAGTACGTTAATTAGTGCCATCTTTCCCTAAAATGGTAACATTTGCATTCTTCCACAAAAGTCAACTTTCACAGAGTATCCCATCCGTAAGTTACTTTTTACCACTTTTATAGAACAGAAACTTGTTCTAAAATTGATCCATCTTAGCAAAATCTGACAAAAGAGCAAAATCGATAAACTTTATCAAAATTAAACATTTTTGTACTATACTATGAAAGATACTGTCAAAAGAATGAAAAGACAAACTAGAGATTGGGAGAAATTTTGTGCAAATCATATATTTGAAAAAGGATTCCAATCCGAACATATAAAGAACTCCCAGCCAGGTGCAGTGGCTCACGCCTGTAATCCCAGCACTTCAGGTGGCCAAGGCAGGCAGATCATGAGGTCAAGAGATCGAGACCACCTTGGCCAACATGGTAAAACCCCATCTCTATAAAAATACAAAAATTAGCCGGGCATGATGGCGCATGCTTGTAATCCCAGCTACTTCGGGAGGCTGGGGCAGGACAATCGCTTGAACCCGGGAGGCGGAGGTTGCAGTGAGCCAAGATCACGCCACTGCACTCCAGCCTGGTGACAGAGTGAGACTCCAACTCAAAAAAAAAAAAAAAAACCTCCCAACACTTAGCAATAAGAAAACTAACCAAATAAAACTGGGCTAAAGATTTCAACAGACACTCCACAAAGAGGCTATAACGATAACAGACGAGCACATAAAAAGATGTTTGATGTCATAAAGCCAGGATTAGATACCACCACATGCCTATTAGAAAGGCTAAATTAAAAATATTGATAACACCAAGTGATGTAAAGTAATTGGAACCCTCATACACTGCTAGTAGGAATATAAAATCATTTAGCCACTCTGGAAAAAGGGTCTGCGGTTTCTTATAAAATCAAATATGCACACTACATTATATGACCCAGCAATCCCCTTTGCCCCTCAGACAGATAGAGAAATGAAAACTATGTTCACACAATGATCTGAACACAAATGTTCATAACAGCTCTATTCATAATTGCTGAAAAGTGGAAACAATTCAAATGTCCTTTAATGAGTGAACAGATAAACAGACCTCTTTGTGAAGTAAAACTACTCAGCAATAAAAAGGAACAAGTGTTCAATATATGCAATAACTTGAAATAATCTCAAAAATATTATGCAATGTAAAAGACCCCAGTCTCAAAAGCTTACATACTGTATCATTCCATTTATAAAATCTTAATCTCAAAAAGTTAAAACTATAGGAATTAAGAACAGATCAGTGGTTGCTAGTGGGTATGGGTTGGGGAGGAGCAACTAGAAAAGAAGAGAAAGAGGGAGTTTTTAGGGTGATGACACTGCCCTGTATCCTGACTGCGGTGATGGCTGCACAAGCTATACATGTATTAAATTAGTAAAACTGTATACCAACAAACATCAATTTTACTATATGCTAATTTTTATAAAATTATAAAAATTATTTTTAAAATATGAATCTGAATGTCTCAGTTGACATGATTTTTTAAAACTAAAAAGGAGATATAGAAGGATAAGTGTGCTGTGAATAAACAGAAAACCCATGCACCTCCCTTTCTGCATATACAGTATAGGTTTTACAGGCAAGAATGGAGTCTCAGAAAGAACCTCTCCAAATGGAACAATGATTGAGCTCACTTGGCACAAAATGTAAAATACTTTTGAAGAATTCCATCATAGCTAGATGGTTGGTCCAGAACCAAAAGTAAATGCTGGAAGAAAAATGAAATCAATCTTTCTACTCCAAACCTCTGTCTGTGACAGTAAAAGAACCACCAGGCCACCTTGAAATCAAGTCATGAAATATACTTTTAGTTTAAAAATCAGTTGTATTCCTCAAATTAGCATCTCTTGTTAATGTAGTTATGGTCTTCTTTGATCTCAAAGACCAATCCTTTGTAATAGACCGACTTTAAGCAAAAGTAAACTGATCAAATAGCAGGATGTCACAGTAGTAAACTAAAATTTCTTCAATCTAAATTCAAGATGATTTCTCCATCTCTGTCTTACACATTTGCCTGTTAGAAAAAAAACTCTACCACATAATTAACTTAGGTGGAATAAATCAGACTGCATTTGAAAAGGTTGTAGAAGACTGATGAGTTATGTTAATTAAACAGCATCACTATCTCCTTCGACAGAAATTACTAACATCCATAACTGGTTCTTAATCAGACCCCAAGATATCTTTACTTATTAGACTATATGCCATGTAAAAGACCCCAGTCTCAAAACAATATATATAAACAATAAAACTTAAAGGACAAATATAATAAAATACATGTTTCTTTATATTACAAAATAAAAATTTAAATCAGAAGAACTACTAGAAAAAATTGTATATCCACATTTTTCAAGTTAGTTATTTGCCATGAATTCTTCTACTTTGCTTTCCTTGTAGAAATTCCATTACTAACCTGAAACTAGAAAGTAAATACACTTTGGGAGGCCCAGACAGGCAGATTGCCTGAGCTCAGGAGTTCGAGACCAGCCTGGGCAACATGGCGAAACTCCGCCTCTATTAAAAATACAAATATTCAGCCAGCCATGGTGGTGGACGCCGTAGACCCAGCCACTTGGGAAGCTAGACACAAGAATCACTTGAACCCGGGAGGCAGAGGTTGCAGTGGCGATCACAACACTGAACTCCGGCCAGGATGGTAGAGTGAGAGTTTGTCCCCCCAAAAAAACGTTTATCGTGACCAAATAAAGAAAAGCCAAATTGACACTTTTTTTTTTTGAGACGGAGTTTCGCTCTTGTTGCCCAGGCTGGAGCGCAGTGGCGCAACCTCCACCTCCCAGGTTCAAGAGATTCTCCTTCCTCAGCCTCCCGAGTAGCTGGGATTACACGTATGTGCCACCATGCCTGGCTAATTTTGTATTTTTAATAGAGACAGGGTTTCTCCATGTTGGTCAGGCTGGTCTCAATCTCCCGACCTCAGGTGATCCACCTGCCTTGGCCTCCCAAAGTGCTGGGATTACAGGCGTGAGCCACCACATCCAGCCAATACATTATTAAAATAACCTAAGTGAGACCTGGTACAGTGGCTCATGCCTGTAATCCCAGCATTTTGAGAGGCCAAGGTGGGCGGATCTCGAGGTCAGGAGTTCGAGACCAGACTGATGAACATGGTGAAACCCCGTCTCCACTAAAAATACAAATATTAGCCAGGTGTGGTGGCATTTGCCTTTAATCCCAGGTACTCAGGAGGCTGAGGCAGGAGAATTGCTCGAACCCAGGAGACAGAGGTTGCAGTGAGCTGACATCGAGCCACCACACTCCACCTGGGTGACAGAGCGAGACTCTGTTTCAAAAATAAATAAATAAAATTTAAAAAAAAAAAAAAAAAAAACCCAAGTGAAGAGGAAGAAAGCATATCAGAATGGGCCCCTCTTCCCCACTGAGTAGCAGGGTCCTGGTGAGCCAGTGGGGCTAAGCTGTATCATGCTTCCTTAGGGAGGAAAAGTATCACTTTAGAGATGGCACAATAACTTTGAAATGCCTATAAAATAATGTCAAAGCTCATTACCAGATATCCAGGCCACCAGTAATCTAGCTACAACCCCAACCCAGGCCCCACGTCCACAGGCCTCTGAGACTCTGATAACATCGATCCCTCTGCCCAGAACATCCTTTCCTCACCTCTCTCTGGACCTAAATCCTACCCAGATTTTAACCAACACTTCAAGATCTATTTCTCTAAGATGCTCTCCTCCCAAAACTAAAATAGCATTACTTTCTACCGAATTATTTGGCCTCTGAGTCATCTATTATCTTGAATTAAATGTATTGTGTAAAATGCCTTTCTGCCCAATACAACTATCTTATAGAGTCCATTTTATACCATCTTTATCCCAATGACAAACATTCAATTTACTAAAACCATTCAATAAATAATTAAATTTCCCAAAGATGACCTAAAATAACCTAAATGCCAAGCATTCCAAGAACTGTCCTGTTTCAAATTCAGTTATCATTAGCATGTCAAGTCCCAAAGAGGCATGTTGTATTACCTTTAAGTTCATCTGCATTTATCCAAAACTGGAATCTATATGGTCCTACAGTATACCCAGGCAAAATATTCTGCAAAGTAGTTTTATTCTCTGTACTGTACTTAATATTCAACCAGACTTGCATTTTTCTCTAAAACATAAAATTGCTGAGTATGCAAGAAGCATTACAAGAGAGACTAAGCCTACAGAGAAGAAAACTAGAAACTAAAATCATCGACCATGGTCTATTTTGAATAATCACTTTCGTAGAGGTAAATTCTCTGAAATTCCAGAATAAATGGAATTTAATATAGTATAAAATGTTTTAAATACGTACAAGAAATATCCTGATGGGCCATCTGCCATCTGTTTTAGTGACTAAGATTAACTAAATTTTCTAAAAATTATATCAACAACTAAAATTGAGATTTTTTTTTCTATCTATTATTTTTCCTGATCCATTTTTCAGGATTTCCAAAAATTCTGGAGCTAGCCTTCTTAGTTTCAAGAATTCCAAATTATTTCTTGAAGAGTTTGAGCCTCTTCCAAATCATTTAACATGCTTATTAATTAAGAAGGATATGAAGAAACAAAACCCCATACTTAAGATGCAAGCAGGCCAGGTGTGGCTCATGCCTGTAATCCCAACACTCTGGGAGGCAGAGGCGGGCAGATCATGAGATCAGGAGTTCGAGATCAGCCCTACCAACATGGTGAAACTGTATCTCTACCAAAACTACAAAAATTAGCCGGGCGTGGTGGCACTTGCTTGTAATCCCAGCTACTTGGGAGGCTGAGGCAGGGAGAATGACTTGGACCCAGGAGGCAGAGGTTGCAGTGGGTCAAGATCACACCACTGCACCACTACACTCCAGCCTGGGCAAGAGAGAAAGAGTCCATCTCAAAAAAAAAAAAAGCAAGCAAATTATGCTAAAAGGCTGACTTCTAGAAAGGTTACTGCTTGCCAAGAAAATTATATTACTATAAAACATTGTCTATCCTTTTTATTTCTTCTTTTCCCTTCCAGATTATCTGTGTAGACACAGAATCACATTACTACTACCACCACTACTATCACAGACCCTTAAAGGCCATCTTCAATTTACCAACAGATTATGTTCTAATGTTGTATTTTCAAATCAGACTTTAAAATTCAGAAAAGAGTTTTCTATACAGTGTTAAAAATAAGGTCACCGAGAAGATTTCAAGTGACAAAAGCAAGTTACAAAATAATATATGTGATATAATATCATTCTGTAAGTAAAAACAAACAGATCATAAAATAATATAGTCCGTCATCTCATTTTTGTAAAACATGTAAATATTGAATATTTTGCATAAGAAAATCGGGAAGGATATGAAACAGTCTAACCATGCAGAAAATATCAGATAAACCCCAAATTGAAGGGCATTCTATTAAATACCTAAATAGTACTCCTCGAAACTGTCATGAAAAACAAAGTATGCGAATATCACAGCCCAAAAAAGACAAAGAAGACAAAACAGCTACATTCATTGCAGGTCTGGATAGATTCTGAAACAGAAAAAGGACATTAGTGGGAAAACTGGTGAAATCCAAATAAAGTCTAAATATTAGTTAATAGAAATGTTCCAACAATGGTTTCGTAGATTTGACAAACATGCCATGGAAACATAAGACGTTAACAATGGGGGAAACTCAGTAAAGAGTTTACAGGAACTCTGACTTACACTTTTAACTTTTCTGTAAATCTAAAATTATTCCAAAATTGAAAGTTCATTACAGGCCAGGTGCGGTGGCTCATGACTGTAATCCCAGCACTCTGGGAGGCCGAGGGGGGAAGAGGGTGTCACCTGAGGTCAGGAGTTCAAGACCAGCCTGGCCAACATGGTGAAACTGTCTCTACTAAAATTACAAAAAATTAGCCACGCGTGGTGGCGGGCACCTGTAATATACTAGCTACTAGGAAGGCTGAGGCAGGAGAAATGCTTGAACTCAGGAGGTAGAGGTTGCAGTGAGCCAAGATCACACCACTGTACTCCAGCCTGGGATACAGAGTGAAACTTCATCTCAAAATTGCCAGGCTGGAAAAAAAAAAAAAAAGTTTATTACAAAAATAAAAGTGGATATCTCTGGGTGGTGCCATTACAGTTTTTTATTCATCTGTATTTTATAATTTTTTTTTCGAGACATACATAGTCTTGCTATGTTACCTAGCTGGAGTGCAGCGGCATGATCTCAGCTCACTGCAACCTCTGCCTCCCAGGTTTAAGTGATTCTCCTGCCATAGCCTCACAAGTAGCTGGAATTACAGGGACGAGCCACCATGTCCGGCTAATTTTTGTATTTTTCTTATAGACAGGGTTTCACCATGTCGGCCAGGCTGGTCTCAAACTCTTGACTTCCTGATCCGCCCGCTTAGGCCTCTCAAAGTGCTGGGATTACAGGCATAAGCCACCGCGCCCAGCCACGTATTTTATAACTTTTAACAAGCAGCAAGTTTCACTGTCATGGAAAACAAAAAGACTTAGTTCCAGAAGACTTAAATTAATTTGCCCAAAGACACAAAATTGAGGCAGCACAGGAATTCTGGAATTAATCCTCTTTCTCTTTACTCTAGACCCCATACAGAGACCTAAGAACATACCCTATTAAACTTTTTGACTCTCCTTACTTGCTAATACACAAAATTTAAGGTCACCAAATTACTTTTGCTTTACCATTTGCTTCACTGTAATTGATGCAGAAGGAGGAAACAGAGGAAACAATACTGAGAGCTGTTGAAGTTGGACAGTGGGTACATGGGGATTGATTACACTCTTCTTTCTGCTTTTGTATGTCTGAAAATGTCCATAATAAAAAACTTTTAATTAAAAAATAACCAGTCTCGCCAACATGGTGAAACTCCGCATACACTAAAAATGCAAAAATTAGCCGGGCATAGTGGTGTGCCCCTGTAATCCCAGCCACCTCGGGAGGCTGAGGTAGGAGAATTGGTTGAACCTGAAAGGCGGAGGCTGCAGTGAGCCGAGATCTTGTCACTGCACTCCAGCTTGGGTG